GGAGGGAGGGAGGGAGGGTGAGAGGATGGGAGGGTGGGAGGGAAAGGAAGAGAAAAAGGAAGGAGGGAGGGGGGAGAGGAGGGGAGGTGGGACTACCCTCTGTGACTCAGCCTACGGAGGTTGGACTTGTACACAAGCCCAAGGGGCGGCCTCAGTTTCGTCCCCCCGGGGCCCTTTCTTTCTGGAGAAAGTTCTGAGCCTCATGGGCCAGGGTGGGGCAAATTGGAAGCTTCCCAGGGCCTTCCTCTGACACCCCCCCAAGGCTCTAGGGGTCCTCAGGCTAGCGCCACTGTCCAGGCAGCATGGACACACCTGGAGGGGCAGCCTGACTGGACCTGGGTCCCAGCCCTGCTGACCCAGGCAGACCCCACAGCCCCCTCAGAGCCTGGATGGATGTCCTGGTGCATAAAGCTGGTGGGGTCACAGCCCTGCCTCCACAGCAGCCCCCATCCCCTCGGCCTGCAGGTGTCAGGAGCTTGGCCAGCCTCCTCGCCTCCATGCTCCTCCTCCGCATAAGCCCCAGATTCCCCTCAGTTTTGGCAGGCCTAGCCCCCTTCCCAGTGCGCTCCAGCCCGCATAACGCCCGATCCCCCCACTGCACTGCTGCTGCTGGCAGCCTGTCCCCTGGGGCTCCCAGGAAGAAGCAGGTGGGAGTTGTCGACCTCCAAGGGGCCCCAACGCCAAGCTCTGTTTAGCCTCGCTTCTGTGGGAAGCTGAGGGCCCCGGGAGCCTGGACGGTCATATGGGATCCTTCCTTTCAGGGTTTGGGGACCCTGCTGGGGCCACTGCCATCTTTGACTCCCCCTCAGCCTCTGTGCTCTCAGTAGTCAGGGCTTGGGGGACGGGAGGGGAAGCCCTACGCCAGTGGGAAACGACAGGCAGGTGGCCTCCTGCCCTGCAACCCCGTTTCTAGAAGGAGGTGGCCCAGGTGGCCTGTGGGCTGGCCCTGCAGCCCTCAGCCCAGCACCAGTGGGCTCTGTCAGCTCACCTGCTGCTAGCGGAGAGCTGTCAGGGGACATGCCCGGGCATCACACTCCTGCATCTCCTGTGGAGGAAACGGCCTGCCTCTGGGGTGCTGACCCCTGATCCCCGGGCCTGGTGGGCAGCACAGGTCTCACAGTCTCCCGTGCCCTGGCCCTGAGCTGCCAAGTGATGGCCACTGCTGGAGGACAGGAGACCCTGTGTTGGGGAGGGCATGGGATGCCTGCTCTGGGGGGCCACCAGCAGGCAGACACAGTTGGGGCTGAGGACACAGTCGAAGTGCACAGAGAAACCCTCTCCTCGGCACTTGCCCAGCCCTATATCCTCATTCAGGAGCTCTGGTAGCATAGTGGCTAAAGCACTTGACTGCTAACCAGAAGGCTGGCGGTTCAAACCTACCAGTCACACCTCGGAAGGAAGGCTGGGCAATCCTACTTCCGTAGTGATACTGCCTCGGAAACCCAAGGAGGGGTCACTATGAGTCGGGGCCGACTCGACGGCAAACAACAACAACAACAATATCCTCATTCCTGCGGCCCTTCTGTCTACCACCCTACAGCAGCCTCCGTGTGGAAGCACCCAGCTGTGGCAGGCCCGTCCCTGCCTTCAGGGACCAAATAAGTCTTGGCAACACTGAGAGATGAGTTCTGGGAACCCTGGGGAGCTGGGGGGCCTGGGGAGGGATCCCCAACCCTTCCCAAGGGCTCTGGGATGGCTTCATGGAGGAGTCACTCGGGGACAAACAGGGGTCTGTGTGACCTCAGCTGAGGACTACGTAAGACCTGGAGGCAAGAGAGTGAGAGGCAGACAAAGCTGGTGGGGCAGGCACAGTACCTGAAGGCAGGCCGGCCAGGTGCAGGCAGCCGGGTGCGCACCCGGGCCTCGGGGAGAAGGGTCTGTGCATGGGTGGGGGGGCCACGGACTCAAGCTCTAGAGCCAGCCCCTCTCCAGTCTCAGGATCTGGGGAACCTTTCTAGGTCACCCTGACACTTTTGGAAAAGGCCGCAAGGGCTTTAGATTCACTCAGTCAACGGGAAGTGAAGTCCAAGGGCCAGTGAAGGGCCCTGGCTCAGAGTCAGTGCTCGGCTCAAAGCCGAAGGCCAGGCCTGGCGTGAGCCTGGCGATGGGTCATGGCACAGGGCAGGGGCACCCTGGAGCTTGCCACCTGCAAGCTGATTAGAGATTTGGCAGTCAGCTTCCAGGGGGAGGGGCCGTACCCCTTGGCATTCTGCACCCCAGGACCCACCACTCAGATCAGACATGCAGCACGACCACACCCACACTCAGTCCAGCCCCCACCCCAGCTTCCCCTTGGCCTGAAGCCTGCAGGCTGGACACCGAGCTGCCTCCCCTGTGCCCTCCCCCAGCCTGCTGCCTTGGCATTGTGGGCACGAATCAGAGGCTGGAGCATGGCTGCAGGGTCCCCAGCACTGTCACGTGCGGGTCCAGCCCACCAGCCTTCTGGGCCCCAGCTGCCCAGCACCTGCTGAAGACCAGTGCCGGGCCTGCTGCCCTGAGCCAGTGTCCTAACAGCGCCTCTTAGCCCAGCTCCCTCACGGGCCAAATGGGGAGCATCATGCCCTTCAAGCCTGTGGGGGTCCGGGAGGCACCCGGAGCTGGATAGGAGACGCTCTCCTGTGACCTCAGACTCCTCGGGAGCCCTACCCCCCACTGACCTCGTTCACTGCATCCTGTGGGCCTGGAGCCTCCTGGCTCTGCTGAAGGTCACCCTGCACCTCATGGCACCACGGCTGAGTACATGGCAGGCCACCTAGGAGTGTCTGTGGGCCGACTGCCACAAGGGGTCTGATACCTTTTTCTAACCTGGGACACCTGTCTTAAAAAGACTTGGCTGCTGCCCCATGGGATAGGGCTGGGTGGCTTCTTCTGGGGGACAGAATGGCCCGTTGTCAGCAGGCCTCCCAAGCCCACTCCACGAGGACGCCCCAATAGTCCTGGGACCAGGAGGAAGAAGGTGGCCGCTGGGCAATCCCCTCTACAAGCTAGCCCCCAGGCTCCCCAACTGCTCCCCGGTGCCCACCAGCTTGGGTGTGGCTGACCAGTGCCTACCACCAGCTGTGTCACAGCAGGATTCCCCTGCAGCTCCTGGGCCCCCTACCTGACCCCCCTTGATTTTCTTTAATTCCCCCAAGACCTACTTCCTGGCCTTCTGCCACTCTGCCACCATGAAGGTCACAGGCGTCCTGGCCTCACTCTTGACGGACGGAGGACAGAGCCCAAAGTGCAGAGGTCATAGGTCACATGTACCTGGCCAGCCCCAGCCCCGAGACCCCGGGCTGTGCTCCTCCACCAGCCTCGAAGTGGCTCCTGCACACAAGGGTTCGAGCTGGCCCCCCGCCAGGAGTGGCCAGGCTTCACTTTGGGCGTGAGCAAATCGGAGGGCTCGGGTAACGGGCAGAGGCAGCAGCACCCCCAGGAGCCAGCCTGGGGCCCTGAGTCAGTCCAAGGGCCTGGGGGATAAAGTATGAACGGGGTGGGGTCCATGTCCCTCCCTTCGCTCTAGGGAAAGTCCACTCCTCCAGCTAGGCCAGCTGCTCTGACAAACATCCCACGGGGCACTGACCCCCGAAAAGTTAGCCAAGGCTCCAAGGCTTCTGGGAGGAGGCAGCTGGGGGCTTCCAGCAGCCGAGGGCCTGAGCTGGCAGGATCTCCCTGCAAGCCACTGCCCAGCAACAGGTGGGCCAAGAAAGGCAGGAAGCAGGCTTGGTGGGCCAGGTGGGAATCTGCCCGGCTCCTGGAGCAGGGTGGCCTCTTCCAGAAGCCTGGGAACCCCTGCAGTCCGGGCGATGCTTCCACGCCAGTGCCCTTCTGGGCCAGGTCTCTCAAATTTCACACCTCGGCTGGCACCTACTCCAGGACACGCAGCTGGATGGTGGGCTCACTGCCCTGAGCTAGGACAGGATACCTGTCCCGGAGCTAGTCTGTGAACTTTGGCTGCGCAGGGGCGGGCGCCCAGCGCTTAGCCGGCTTGGCACAGGGCGGCCTATACTGGCATCACGAGGAGAGACATCCCTCAGGAGGAACACCTGAGGCTGTACTGGCTGGCTCTCCTGGGCCGCGCGGGCAGACGGCGACCGGGGCGCAGGCGATGACCGAGGAATGTTGGGCGCAAGGCCTGCCCAGGGAGTGGGTGCGCGCCACCACACCAGCGAGCCACTGGCCGCTGGCCTCCCCTGGGGTGCCCCAGTCCCTCTCGCAGAGGCCGGGCCGTAACGTCACGTCCTTCAGGGTCATGGTCTGCGACCGTCTCAGCAGGGGGTCGGGTCTGGGCTGATCGGAAGCCAGGGAGCCCAAGGCAATGGAGCCCCGCCCGGGCCGGGATCCCCAAACTCGCAGCTTCCCGGCCCTGCCAGCCGGGCCCCGAGGCCTCTCCTTCCCTACTCCGCCGCGCCTCCTCGGCCATTGAAATGCAAATTGTCCCCAATTGTCGCCGAGGCGGCGGCGGCCGAGCCGGATCCTTCCGCAGAGTGTCCCAAACTTTTGGCCTCAGAAACTTCGAAGCGACAAGTAGTGCCCGCGCTGGCCCTCAGTCCCCCGCTTGTCTCTGGCCCCAAGCGCCCGGACCAGCCGCGCGTCCCCAGCGAGGGGCACATCCCGAGGGGTGCAGCCGAGGGGTGCAGCGGGCCGGGGCCGGGGTTCCGAGGG